AACCAATCTCATTATTATGTTCATTAGTTTTCCAAAAGTGTTTAAAGTATCACATACATATTCACCCAAATTCAAATGTTAATCTCATCCAGAAACACCTTCACAGACACACTCAGAGTACTGTTTAACCTGATATCTAGGCATGACATGGCTCAGTCAAATTGACACATAAAATTAACCATCACACTATTCCTCTGTCTTTGGACAGTTGGGTTGTTTCTTGGCTATTGTGAATAATGCTGCTATGAACATGGGTGTACAAATATCTACGTCTGTGTTTTCAGTTTTTCTGGATATCAAGTGGTATTTTTATCCAATTCCTACATATGCTTAGTTGAAGTTTAGAATTCTAGTTGCTGAATCACTTTAATCACCAAAGGCATATTTTAGAAAAAGCACTTGTGTTACATCTGATGCGTATTTAAGTTATATGGATCAGTTGTACTGTATTTTAAGGTTATTGAAGGGATTCTTAATGGAAATGTTTTTTATACTTGATTTTTGTCTAAACCAATGCCTTTGGAACCCAGTCTTTTTATTTTAAAAAGCAGAAAACATGATTTCTGATGTTTTCTTTCTACATGTCTTCTCAGTGCTATTGAAATAAAAAACATATCTATATCTTATTTCCTAGTTAACAGAGGAGAAGTTTGAAGATTACCTCTTTACCTAGTACCTTTTGTCATTCACAGGAATATTTTGAGCAAAATGAAAACATATTTCGGTATTTATAACTTCATTTTTTATAAGGTAATGAAGAGAGGAGACAAAATATTTTAGGGTTGCATGGCACATAGAGTGCCATTTTGAAAGAGCATTTGAGTTAGGTATTGAAAAATACATTTATTTTATTAATCCTACTATACTCTTAGGGTATAATTTTGGACAAGCCATTTTACCTCTCTGAACACAATTTCTTGTCTGAAAGATAGTGAAGGTGGTAATACATGCTACTGTTTTGTAGGGTTGTGATGATCAAGTGAGGTAAAGTATGTGAAACTTTTACATTGATACATAGATGTTAGATGGCATTTTATGATCAGAGCCAGTAGTTAAAATAGTTATTAGACATGATAGATCTGTTTACTTATATATTGGATCATTGCTGTGGTGTGTCTGATCAAAAAGTTTCTAAGGTTTGAACTGTAGAAGATGACTGTAATGAAGGAGTCAGCTTTGTCCCAGAACCTCAGCTCATTGGAAAGAAAGAAGCATTTTCTAGCTACTCTAACCCAATTTTTGGTATTAAAAACTTTTCTATTTTACTGTTTTGCGAAGAATTACATGGTGTTCAGAACTTTATGAACGAATCAGAAATTTGTCAGCATATATCCCTTTTTTAGCCCAATATACATATTTTGTGACATTTCCAAACATTTTATTATTTTTGAATGTTGAAGATTGTATATTTTAATGAGTTAAGGTTTATTTGATACAGCAGTTTAAAGAGTACTAAAAAATGATTTGTTTGATGGCTTATCTCTATGTCCTACAGAGAGAGACTAGAGACTGGAGACTCCTTTTTTCTTTGACATATTTTCATGTTACATACAGTTGGATTTGTTCTATCTGTGTAAGTAAGGGACAGAAAGTGTTACTTCTGAGATAATTCTTTTGTGGGAAAAGGGAATGGTTTGCTTTATTACATATTCCAAGAGTTGTTTTCCCTTCAGAAACATGAGTTAGAATGAAAATCTCAATACCTAAACTTTCTTAAAAAACATCTTTTCAGAACTGAGTAAATTTTGAAGTTTATCTTTTTGTTTTTCTGGGCTTTGATATGACTCTGGATGAAAAATAGTGAGAATTTTTGCCTCATCCGTATTAAGAGCCTAAGAGATACCATTAAATACTTGTTGACAGACTGATTCTAGGGCTGGGGCAGTGAAAAGGTAAGCCTAGAGCAAACATCTTTTTTTTTTTTTTCCTTTTTTTTTTTTTCAGGAATAGAATTTAGTGATTTATCACTTACATATAACACTCAGTGCTCATCCCAACAAGTGTCCTCCTTAATGTCCCTTGCCCATCTCTCCACCCAACACCCATCCAGCACCCGTCAGTTTGTTCTGTGTATTTAAGAGTTTCTTATGGTTTGTCTCCCTCTCTCTGTTTATATTATTTTTGCTTCCCACCCCTTATATTCAGCTGTTTTGTGTCTTAAATTCCACATGAGTGAAATTGTATATTTGCCTTTCTCTCATTTCACTTAGCATTATACACTCTAGTGCCATCCATGTTGTTGCAAATGGCAAAATTTTAATTTTTTTGGTTGCCGAATAATATTCTGTTTCATATATATATATCACATCTTCTTTATCCATTCATCCATCGATGGACATTTGGGCTCTTTTCATACTTTGGCTATTGTCAATAGTGCTGCTATAAACATTTGGGTGCAAGTGCCCCTTTAAAACAGCGCTCCTGTATCCTTTGGATAAATTCCTAGTAATGCAATTGCTGGGTCCTAGGGTAGTTCTATTTTTAATTTTTTGAGGAACCTCCATACTGTTTTCCAGAGTGGTTGTACCAGTTTGCATTCCCACCAGCAGTGCAAAAGAGATACTCCTTTTCTGCATCCTCATCAACATCTGTTGTTGCTGGAGTTGTTCATTTTAGCCATTTTGACAGGTGTGAAGTAGTATCTCATTGTGTTTTTGATGAGTGATGAGTGATGTTGAGCATTTTTTCATGTGTATGTTAGCTACCTGGATGTCTTCTTTGGAAAAGTGTCTTTTCATGTCTTTTGCCCATTTCTTCACTGGATTATTTGGTTTTTGGGTGTTGGGTTTGAAATGTTCTTTATAGATTTTGGATACTAACCCTTTATCTGATATGTCATTTACAAATATCTTCTTCCATTCTGTCAGTTGCCTTTTACTTTTGCTGATTGTTTCCTTCACTGTGCAGAAACTTTTTATCTTGATGAAGTCCCAGTAGTTCATTTTTGCTTTTGTTTCCCTTACCTCCAGAGACAGGTCAACTAAGAAGTCGCCGTGGCAAAGGTCAAAGAGGTTGTTACTTGGTTCCTTCTCTGGTATATTGATAGCTTCCTGTCTTACATTTAGGTCTTTCATCCATTTTGAGTTTATTTTTGTATATAGTCTAAGAAAATGGTCCCAGGTTTATTCTGCATGTCGTCCAGTTTTCCCAACACCGTTTGCTGAAGAGACTGTATTCCATTCGATATTCTTTCCTGCTTTGTCAAAGATTAGTTGGCCATATGTTTGTGGGTCCATTTTTAGGTTCTCTCTTCTGTTCCATTGATCTACATGTCCGTTTTTGTGCTGGTGCCATACTGTCTTGATGATTACAGCTTTGTAATACAGCTTGAAGTACGAAATTGTGATGCCTCCAGTTTTGGTTTTCTTTTTGAGGATGGCTTTTGCTATTTGGGGTCTTTTCTGAGTCTGTACAGATTTTAGGATTATTTGCTCTGGCTCCGTGAACAGTGCTGGTGGTGTTTGGATAGGGGTTGCTAGAGCAAGCATCTTGTGGTAACACAAAGTAAGGAAATGCTTACAAAACAAAAAGATAAGAGCCTGTCAAAGAATTATAGTAGCCAGCTGAAAGAGCTTACGGTCGTGGCCAATGCTGGAACAATTTGAACAACAAAATAAATGACATATTGATTGTAACGCAAAGTATATAACAAATATCCATGAATCCATACTGATATAAGTAAAATTGAATAAATGTGTAAATGAAGGAAAAGAGACAAAAATTACATATAAGAAAATTACAAATATATGTAGACATTCTTTGCTCCATAATGTAAAACATAATTCCACCTTTTCCTCCTTGATTGTGGTCTAGACTTACTCACTTCCAATGAGTAAATTATGAAAAGGGAAAAATAGTAACTTCAAAGTTGAGAAGACTTATAGATACTGCCTTTGCCAACCTATGTAAATTAACATCCCCAGTGATGTTCATTGATTTCATTTTCCCCTTGATATGATGTGATAGGAGGGGAAGTTCACCTCTTTCCAAAAGTGGTATTTTTTCCAAAAAACTCTAACTTTAGTCTAATAACTGGGTAATTCTGCAAAATACCTGACCAATATTCCTCAAAACTGTCAAGGTCATGGAGAAGAAGTCGAGACTGAAATCTGTCACAGACCAGAATAGACTAGGGAGACATGACAACTTCTTGCAGTGTGATATCCTAGATAGAGTTCTGGAATAGAAGAGAGACATTAATGAAAAAAAACTGTTGAATAATATCTTGGATTAGTTAATAGAAATGTGCAGATGTTGGTTTCTTCATTTTCACAAATGTACCCTGGTATTATATAGGGTGTTAACAATGGGGGAAACAGGGCAAAGGGTATTCAGACACTAACTGCACTATTTTGCAACTTTTCGGTAAATCTAAAATGGTTTCAAGATAAAATGTTTGTTTAAAAAAACCTTCTTGATTTTTTTTTATTGTATGGAATTCAGATAGTGTGAAGAATAAAAACTTTGTGTTAACCAATTTTCTCCAGTTCCATGTTTTATTTTAATTGTAATTTTTGTAATTTTTTGTAATTATTATTTTTGTAATTAAAATTATCGCAATTTTTCCTATGAAAATTTCATAATATACTGTTACCCCTGTTTAAATTTATAAGTCCTTTATTCATAAATGGTAGTGTCATCTATATGTAAGATATAGTGACCATTTAAAAGTCATCTTAATACCCCAAACTTTTAAATTATAGATGGAGGTTAATAAGGTACAAATTAATAGCTGAATATTTTGAGGGGAAGAAGTTAATAATTTACAATAGGGGTACCTAGGATCTAAAATTGTGATTGCTTTGGGAATTATGATTTTGAAAGTGCTTTTGGTATTGTCATGATATAGCACTTTAAGAACTTAGAAACTTTAAAAACATTATTAATAAGGGAATACATAAAAAGTAATCTAATAGAACAAAAGAATACTTACAGTAATTTAAAACATAATCTTTGTTATTAACTATGAAAATATAAGTACATTTTGTATTCTTTTCTAGATTTATTATCTAGGATTGATTTGGATGAACTGATGAAAAAAGATGAGCCACCTCTTGATTTTCCAGATACCCTGGAAGGATTTGAATACGCTTTTAATGAAAGTAAGTGGTTGTATGGTACATACAAGATTTATGTGTCATGCTAATAGACTTCTAGAACAGATATTATTTGCTAATTTTATCTGCCAGTTAGAGTGTTTTATGTATTTCTTTTTTCTTTAATATTTTATTTCTGAGAGAGAGAGAGAGCACATGAGAATGGGAGGGTCAGAGAGAGAGAGGGAGACACAGAATCTGAAACATGCTCCAGGCCCTGAGCTAGCTGTCAGCACAGAGCCTGAGGGCTCGAACCCACGAACCGTGAGATCATGACCTGAGTCGAAGTCGGACACTTAACCGACTGAGCCACTCAGGCGCCCCTTTATGTATTTCTTTTAAGAAATCATGACTTTTCCCTTCACGGTGAAATTCTTTACTCAGACAAAAGAACCAAATCGTAATTTCCAATAATTATCAAATCGCTTAAACCAATGGACATAAATTTGATGTGACTTACACATTTCAACCTTGAGTATTCAATTTGCTGGCATCTGGTTGTAATTTCCAATTAAATTATATAGAAAGATGCTACTTTGTCACATTTCTAAGATGAAATGGCTAGCCATTATTATCTTTGACAATATTTTAAAGCATAGTACTCAATTTTCCATGATTCTTTCAGGCAATATCCTTATTTTAAAATTTATTAATTAAGTTCTGAATAAGATAAACTTTACACATGAGATTTGGGAGAACATACCATAAGTTACAGGGATATTTCTGGAATAAAGAATTATGGTTCACTGAATTGATAACATACTATTTTACCTAAACGACATTACTGTTACAAGCTAGGTAGTATCTGAGTTGTAGCTTTCTATTTGTTGCTAACAAATAGCACATGAACTAAATTGGTGATTTTTTAAAATCATGTCATAGTAGATACTGTTGTAGTATCAGCTATAGGTATTAGTATATATAGTGCTGGTCTCTGTGTGCTAGATAATTAAGTCACTTTAAACTGGTGATATTAGAAATTTTAATTTCTTTTCTGATATTTTCATGCTTTTTAGAAAAGGATATTATATGCCAAAATATGTGTGAGTAGTAATATTTTGGTTTTTTAGAATTTTATTTATACTTTAATTGACAGAACCAAATGAGCACTGAGACTAACATTACCTCTATTCCTTTAAAATGATTACTAGATTGTTTCAGAACAGAGATGGGTTGGGATATTGGTATTGTGGCTAAATCATAGAACTGTTTTGCTTTATGGCTATTGGACATCATTTTTTATTAAAGTCTATGTTTCATCTTCCTTGAATATTTCTTAAAGTGAGTAAAAGACAAAAAAAAAAAAAGCATACACTTCTCTTTATTTTTGTTTTTTAAGTGGCCCCACACCCAGGATGGAGCTTGAACTCATAATCCTGAGATCAAGAGTCATATGCTCTACCAACTGAGCCAGTGCAGTACCCCAGAAGAAATACACACTTTATGTTTCCTTTTCTTATACTCATACATCCTTTTTACACATTTGTACACACTTGGATGCACATATTTTGCATTCAGACACAAAGGGCACCTGTGCCCTTTTGTGTATATATACCATGAATGTGTATGCCACCTTGCATACACCTGCCATTTATTTTTTAAGTATCTTGGACATTGTCTTACATAAATATAGACTAACAGTAAGAGGCACACGTGGTTGAATTTTTAAGGCTCTTATTTTTAGTATGATACAGTTCACTTTTGAATTTGGGTTAATGGTGAATATTTTTTAAGAGAGGTGAGGATTTGGAAACAGGAAACTGGGTCTTGATACTAAACCCCTAAAAGGGCAATTTTAACTTAGTATCTATGGGGACTTCTTTTTTAGCTTTAATGACAAAAATTCTTATGAAAGCTTTGAAATTAAATTTTCATTACCTGATTAAAGCTTCTAATTCTGACTAAAGGATTTTAAAGTAGTTAGTTGGATAAAAGAATAATTTGGAAACAAATTTTATTCTAAGCCAAACAATTTGTAACAAAGGGGAAGATATTGTATATTACCTTTATCAAATTGATATCTTGTTCTTTGAAATAACTGTACCTTTTCAGATACTCCTTGTGTTTAAAATGCCCACTTATCCAGTTTTCCTGTTGTTTCAGTTGTATAAGGCCCAGCTCAAATGTCCTTACTGATGAAGAACTTGAAGGCTTTTCCCTTTGACACTCACCAGACTCCCTATAGCCTGGTGCAGTAGTATGAGGAAGCACACTTTAGTATCACTGAAAAATAATTGGACTTGTGGTAAACCATTTGAGTTTGAATATTGTCTTCTGTAATATCTGAGACTTATTGAACTCTTAATACATGCCAGGAAGTGTCCTAAATTCTTTCAACTTATTAATTCATTTAGGCAAGTGGTAGTGTCTTTTGGGTCCTAGGCTCCATAACAAATGTGTTAAAAAAAATATGGATATACTTCCCAAATAGCACATATTTTAGGTGTACATGTGAAACTTTACAACTGATTTTAGGGGACCTTAAGCTAAAGTGTCCTAAATCAGACCTTTGACACTTACTGGCAGGATAGTCCAAACCTTTGAGAAATGCTGTATTTGCAAATGTGACCAGATATTTTTTTCTGGATAACACTGCTCACACTCTTTGCCTCTTAATCTTTTTACCTTTAACACTAGTGCTAATAGTTGGCCATTTTGACAGGGCCCATTTTTCCTAAAGAAGCAGAATCTTTATCACTTTATGAGAATTATGATATCCAAAATTGAATAGAGTTAAATGAAAACAAAACAAAACACCTTTCTTTGAGATGTAGGTACAAGTGTTCTAAGTGGTCTATTAAAGTCACTTACTGGCTTGATAAGTCACTTGCCTTTCACATAGCAGTCTCACAGAAAATACGTTTTAAATTTCAGCTGCAGAAATATTACACATTACTATATGTCAGGTACCTTTCAGGTTGCTAAAAAAAAAAAAAAAAAAAATTGCAGATTAACAGATACCCTCAATCTACCTGCATTGGTATCTTACTTTTTTTTTTTTCAGAGTTACAAATTTACCAATTCATGTAGTTTTATTTAAAGTTATTTTTATTTTTTAATTTTTTTAAATGTTTCTTTTTGAGTTTTGAGACAGAGAGAGACAGAGACAGAGCACGAGTCAGGGAGGGGCAGAAAGAGAGGGAGCTCTAGAATACAAAGCAAGCTCCAGGCTCCGAGCTATTAGCACAGAGCCTGACCCAGAGCTCAAGCCCATGGACTGGACCAAGAGATCATGACCTGAGCTGAAGTTGGACACCTAACCAACTGGGCTACCCAGGCGCCCCTGCCTGCATTGGTATCTTCAACAGGAATTTCCTTTTGTTATAGAGAAAAATAGACACATCTTGGAATTTATATGGCATTGTCTGATCAAAAAAGAGTGTTATAGTGATCTAGCAGTGTCTCATGTTGAGAGTATTAGAGAACTTTAAAAATAAGGATTAGCCTGTATTTTGCGTATTAAAAAAGTCAATTTTTATATGTAGTAAAATTTATTCCTAAAAATAGTGAAGTAGTTATACTTGGAGTAGTGTATTTCCTGGGTTTAGTTTCAGTGCTGTTAACTTTCCTTTCAAGGTTTTTATCTACTTCTTCATGCCCTCATTGAATAAAAATCAAATACTAAGTTACACCCTGAATGATCATGTCTTTCATTGGGCTCTAAACTCTTTCTGGTGTGTCAGTGCTCCAGGCCCAATAGTTTGAGCCTTCTACTGTCAGTTCCCAACATATTCTCCAGTGTTACACAGTTTGGCTCAGTACTTATTTTTGTTTCTGTTAAAATGAATTATTGTTTGAACTTTGTGTCCATTTTTCACAGTTTACTTTAAATTGCTGGGTAGAGGCAGGAGAGAGTAGGTTAAAGTTATTGGCTCTGGTGTGTTTCTCTGCTCATTACCAGGGGAATATTCCTGGGACAGAGAGAAGACAAGTGGCCTGCTCTTTTCTTCTTATAAACATGCTGATACTAAAATCTTTTATTGAATACAGACTAATGTCTGCTCTGAGCTGAGGTCTTTATTATGGAATGCTTTGAGCACAATGACTGGTTTGGCATTGCTTATGGTAAACAAACATATAGCAAATTTATCTGAGGAAATATGAGGTATATTTATCTGAAAAATATCGTATAAGCAGTACCACTCTCTGACACATAAAATTGAAGTATTTTATAGCCCAAATGCTTACCAGTGTACAAGGTAACCTTTTTGCCTCACTTAGAGACCTTACCTACTCTGGACCGGAGAGTGCTTCTAGTGAGAGGAAAGGACCTGGGAAGAAATGCCCAGGCTCTCCCAGACCTCTCCCTGCTTTTCTTTGCCTGTGATTCTTGATTGCTTATACGCTTGATATTATTAGTAAAAATATTATCAGTAAAATCTAGAATTGAGCATGTCTGACTTGACATTCTAAAGCTGTGTTGGTTCCTTTCTCCAATTTTCATTTGAAATCTTACCCACACTTCAAGGCCTGGTTGAGAAATCGCTCTGTACCTGTTCTAACCTACAGGGGTCTTTCTTTTTTCCAAACTTGTTTTAGACTGTATGGTCTACAGTGAGTTGCCTGTGGCAGTTTTTAGATTGTTGATTTAGTTAATTCTTGTTTAACTTCCTGAAATGTTGCTTGACTTTTTAATATTTACGCTTTTACTTCTCAGGTAAGCTTAGGAACCAGGACCATGTTCACAGTTGTAGCTAGCAAGGACCCTTATACATTATAGGCCCTCAAATGTTAATTTAGGTTAGAGTAATGAAGATCAAAATGCACAGCATTGAGTACATGGGGCCATTATCTTATGGTATTTAGATGTTTGTATCATGTTGATGTTGGAAGAAAAAAATCTAATGAAGAAATGAAACTGTTCTGTGAAAGTTATTTTAAATTTTTATCAGACATTATTTGTCATACTTTTCATATTATAATTATACTCTGAGTCATAGCAATACTATTTGTTTATCTTCTAGAGGGACAGTTAAGACACATAAAAACTGGGGAACCATTTGTTTTCAACTACCGAGAAGACTTGCACAGATGGAACCAGAAAAGATATGAAGCTCTAGGGGAGGTATGGTGATATATTCAACTTTAACTTTTTTTCCCCTAATTTTGAATAGTCAGAATAAAGGCTGTAAAGCTATAACAGTTGATGAAGTCTTTCTTTAAAAAAATGATTTTAAAAAAGTTTTGCATTTTTTGTCTGATTATTTTAATGGTTATGTTTGAAACATATTCTGAGTTTCAAAGTTTATGTTTTCATGTAAACATATGCTTCCTATGACCTTAATATTTGGTAGTGAGTCATTACATCAGAAAACAAATTCATGGCCACATTTTTTTTATTTTAAATGTTTTTAAGAGGTTGACATCTCTGCTTTGCCAGGTGGAAAAAGTGTTCTTTTAAATACTTACCTTCAAAAAAAACCAATGTTAATTATATGAGGTGATGGATGTGTTAATAATATTAATCTTGTTTTTGTTCTACAGTGTGTGTGTGTGTGTGTGTGTGTGTATACAAATCATCACAGTTATTCCTCACTAAAGGTAAAAAAGAAAGTGTTTATGTGTGAAGAAGACTGATATTTGTTTGGCTAATACACTGAATCTAAACTACCTTGATTAAGGATTAGGCCTTGTGACCATTTAGGTTTCTCACATGCTACCACTGTTAGGAATCCTTGAAAATGTCATTTGTTATTCAGGTGAATTTTTTTTTAAAAACCAAAGTTTTTACTCATTCACATCAAGTATTTTTAATAAAATGTGCATGTACACATTTGTTTAGTGCAGTAACTACACACTAGTTTAATTCTCTAAGGAAAAGCTGATGTTTCTATATTCCTGTTTTGATTTTTTTTAAAAAACCTGATTGAACAGTAGCATAAAGTATATATGAAGCTTAGCTTATATATCCTGGGTACCAATTCTTCATGACTCTCTTGAATTTCCAGATGTGTCTGAGCAAAGTCACTGACAGCTTTGATATGGACTAACTTTTTGAGGGACTTTGTAGAGGAAACATCTTGGAAGACTGAGATTGTGTCTTCCTCGAAGGCAGAGAGCAGTTTTTTTGCTCTTCAAGAAAATGCTCCTCCCTTCCCACACCAGTGGCAAAGAATGGGCAGGTTTATTAGCAACCCCTTATAAGAGTGGGTTTTGTAAATGTTGAGGTTCCTCAGCTCTACAGTGTGCTCAGCCTCAGCTCAGTGTGCTTAGCTTGTTCACATTGCCTTTTTGGGATTTGAGGAACAAAAGGAAGATGAAGGTTAGCTCATGCTGCCTGCTACACACTGAATAATAGTCTCGTTGCTGACACGAGTGTCTAGTGTCTTTTAGCAGTATCCATGAAACAGTAGCAGGCTAACTTGTTATCTTGCAAACAGGAAAAAATCTCAGGTTTTGCAAAGTTCTTGACATAGTTCTCCAGCATTAATTCTTAAGTATATTTAATGCCCTGAGTAATTTTTGCTGAACATAAGATGTCTGCCCATTTCCACTTGAATTAATTCTATGCTGCAAACTGATATATCCATAATATATGACCTGAGAGAAGAACTGGGGATGTTTGCTTTGTTTTATTTGTAATTGGGGCTTACATTAATTACTCTTTTCCATAAGCCATGTGTATTTGTTCACTTGGACAGGTGCTGTTCTGTGAACAGACTTTGTCCTTTTGGGCATCTGCATCCTTTTCACACTTAATCTGTATCCTCTAACATCATCTCTTTCAAAATTTAGCAGTTTTGTTTTACGAGATAATCCCATGTGCAAGTGGTTCCTTTCTCTGAGGATCTGCTACTGTATGTTTTTTGGACATAGGGAGGGCCACAGATTTAATTTTTGGTGGACCTTACTCTGTGATCATCAAAATACAGTAAAACCAAAATACAGTAAAAAACAGTTTTTGCTTTTTACAATCAAGTTTGCAAGTTTGTTATTACAACCTGATGGTACACTTATACAAATCTCAGTACAGTTGAGCATGTAAGTTTTAAGAAATACTCTGACTGAATGGACATGGGTAGTTCTCCAATCTCTATCCATAGAAATGTTTAAATGGTTGTTTGCCTATAACTGCAGTTAGATAATCTAACTGCTATAAGGGTGCTTCCCCTGTGTTTACTGTCTGCCATCTGCATGAGAACCAAGGAGTTCTGGGTACAGGGGAAAGAGTGTGGTGTACATTGTACATGCCTTCTCCTGGGTCCCTCAGCAGGTTTACTGAATCAGAATTTTTAACAAGTACCTAGGTGTATGTCACAAGTTGAGTTCTACTGCAATACATAGTAAAACCTTCATTTGTGAGCATAATTAGTTCTGGAAACATGCTTGTAATCCAAAGCACTTATATATCAAAGTGAGTTCCCCTAGTAGATTACAGTTCTGTAATATAATACAAAATAACAAAGAAAATACAAAATATAAAGAAAAATAAACAAATGAACCTGCACTTACCTTTGAAAGCCTTTGTTGCTGGTGTGAGGGAGAGAGGAGAGAGGAGGAGGGTTATTGTGTAGGACGACTTTGACTATCACTAATGGAATCACTGCTATTTATTGGCTCAATGGAATCTTTTTCTGAATGGGGGCCATTGTATATGCTTGTGTGGATGTTGACTACAGCACAGTATTAATAAACTCTTGTCATACTGTATTTTATATAACTGGCAGTAAGGCAGCAGAGGAAAAGGTCTATATCCGCAGGCAGCCTGACCTAGAATAAAGCAAAGCATTTCTACGCTTACTCTTGTATGGAAAAGCAAAGGACTATCCATAGGTGCTTTGAAGCAACAAAAAATACATGAGTGCCAAAGTTCTGAAAAATCACTGATTTCTGCCAAATGTCACCACCTGAGACCAAGTATCTGAGCATGGGAGATGATCACCCACAATCCCATGGCAAGAGAGAGACAGAAGAACCATTGGCTCACTTGTGATCATATGACATTTGTCATTATGTACTACTTGTATTGCAAGACGTCCTTGCTTATCAAGTTAAAATTTATTAGAAATGTTTGCTCATCTTGTGGAACACTCACAGAACAAGTTACTTGCAATCTAAGGTTTTACTGTATTTTGAACTTTCACTTTAATGATTATATATAGCTATATATAGAGAAAGTATTCTATATTATCTAGATTTTTTACCTCCTGTGCCTGTATTCACATTTGTGTTTATGATCAAGTTGGCCCCAATGATCACGCCAAATCACATGATTTATTTTGTAAAGCAGTTTAACTCAAATTAGATCAGTGGACCCCTGAGCTTCAAGTACAATCTCATTTACTTCCCTATATATGTATTGAAAGTAAACATAACTTTCTAGCATAAAACATGTCGCAACAAAAGATCCAAGGATTGGAGAAGAGAAGTCTGGTTGTTATAGCATTTTGTTCCATACCATCTTGCTTCTCATGTCCTGTTTGAAATATTGTTTTCATTACTAATCTCACTGTTGAAGGTTGGTTATTAATTGATTTTCATTTCTTATATTTTAGGATTGAGATATATGAGTTTTAGTTATACATGAATGATAACACACTTTTCACTGTGTTGAATTTGTTTGGTGTTCATTAGGGTGGAATTTACTAATACATAGGTGGACCTATCTTTTTGTCCGTATTTCTTCATTTCTATTTCTGAGCTATGATTTCCAGTGAGATTTAACCACCTTACTATCCTTCATTTATACCTTGTACTTTTACCTCATACTGTTTTCTTTCCTTGAAATGCCCTCTCTCCCTTGTTCATGATACCCCTACCTCCACCTGCCTTAAGATTTTGGCTCCAGTGTCTTCTCTTCTAGGAAGCCTTTTCTCTCCTCTGCTACTCTCTCTCTTCCTCTCTTCCCAGTTTCCTTTTTTCTCATTCTCTTTTTTCTGCCTATCTTGCCTTCCTCCAAGAATGATTTAAGATGACTTTAAATATGAATATGCCTTTTAGCAAGGTTAAAAATTAAATTAAAAATAATAAAATAGAATTTTAAAAAAGAAAATAATGTTAATAAACTAATGGCATGAGTTTGCTTTATTTCTCTCAAGCTACTTTAACCTGTATCACAGTGTTTTTTATGCATATCTTTAAGCAATTTGGGAAATTTTCTTTGTTCTCATGATATTTGTTCATTAGGAAATGAGTGTGATAAATATATAAAGTAGTATGAATTCTGGACCTATGCATTTTAGGAAATTTCTTAATTTTAGGAATTTGAACATAAAGATATATTTTCATATCAGAGTAAAGGAAAATGATATGCAATGATAATTTTCCTATTTGTAAAAATAAAGTATTTTCAATTCTTTTATTCTAATTGCCATTTAATTTCTAAGTTTTAGATTTTCATAGTCACACTCTAGATATGTTGCTGTAATTCAGAAAATGTAAGTTCATGTATAATTTCTAAAATTCCTAGAACATAAATAAACCTTTGCATTTAAATCCTGGAAATAATTTAGTACTTTGTGTTACCAGTAAGATCTTTAGTTCCATTAAGTGAAAACCTATAGAAAGTATGTCACCATATCCTGAATATAGAAACACTTAAAAACCTTTCTCCTCATTGATGGATAGGGTGGAATATGGAAGATAGTGTAAATTTGAGTTTATTGCCTAGTGTCCTGCCTTACTAAACAACTTCTGATATATTTAAGATTGAAATTTTAAGGAAACAAACTCTGACTTTAGCCAACAATCTAAACCAAAACCCCCCCTGTTTTTTTTTTAGTGTGTTCCTACTAAATACTGAGTTTTGTCTTCACTGGAAAGCTACTATGTATGTTTCTCAACTGCCATTTTAGTTTATGTTTATTTCTCTCTTAAGGAGTTTATTATAGCAGTCATTCCAGCAGAAATTGTTTTTAAGACTTGCTCCTGAAATGCTCTGTCATTTCTATGTAAATTAAACTTATTGTGTAAGTAAAATAAACTGAGATGTCAGTTTGTTTTTAGAATGCAGTTCCATAACTGCACAAAAGAATACTTCTTACATTCACATAGTTACATTTTTATAGCCAAACAAATGCTTTTGCTAATATCTATTTTTTTTTTTTTACTATCTACATATAGCTT